TGTGACCTTGTAAAATACTTCTGATGGTGTGTCTGTAATTACCATAGGTTCTCTAGTTTTTGTGTGGACTAATTTTTGTTCCTGGCAAATTTTACATTTTTGTATGTATTCAGCAATGTCGTTGCTCATTCCTTTCCAATAATATTTTTCTCTCATTCGGCTATAAGTTTTTATTACTCCTCTATGACCTCCGAATAAGCTTGTATGACATTCAACTAATTTTTTCTTTCTATCTTCTAGGGTTAGATAAGAACATGCGCCAAAACAAATTTTTACTGTAAGGGATAGGTGACGTAATTCTTCATAAATAACTTATGGTATTTTTTCTTTGAGAATAAACGCCCGAAGTTACTTTTTTAGGACATTGAATAGGAAACTATGGAGTAAAACCAGATTGAAAAAATATAGAAGCTGTTGAAAAATTTCTGAAACCAAGATATCAAACGAAAGTTAGACAGTTTTCAGGATTAGCGAACCATTACCATCGTTTTGTCAAAAATTTTGCAGGAATTGCAGAGACTTAAACGTCCTTGTTAAGAAAAGAAAATAAATTTGAGTAGACAGATGATCAGCAAAAAAGCTTTGAAGAGTTAGGGAGAATATTATGCAAAGCATCTGTGTTAGCTTGTTTCGATTTGAATGAGCCATTCAAATAAGCAACAGACGCATCTAATATAGCTATTGGGGCAGTATGAAGCCGACGAGAATCAGAAAAAGACCGCCCAATTTCGTTCATGTCAAAAACTCTAAATAAGGCTGAAAGAAGTTATTTTTTAACGTAAAAAGAATGGTGAAGTAGTCCAATAATTTTAGCATTACTTATATGGCAGGAAATTTACGTATTACGGAGATCACGAACCACTATCCTGGATTAAGTGTATAAAAGATCCTATGAGTAGGCTTAACTGATGAAGAGCAGGACTTTGAGGTTATATCAATACTCATAAGTACAAATATGGTAGACTAAATACAAACGCGGACGCCTTATCGAGAAATCCAATCGAATGGAATGAAGACGAAAGTGATGAAGATAATTCTTCAGACAAAGAAATATTATTAAAAGCTTGTTTGCTATCTATGAAACCTAAACAAACTAAAACTTCGATAGCTCGCCAAATTATGTTAAACCAATCAATTTCATTCTGATGCCATTGAAAGCATAAAGTCAGCACCTAATGTTAGAAAAAATAAGCCTAGAGATACACTATTAAAAGTACCTCGGGGTATGAAGGTGGACAGGGTGAGTTAAATGCACCTACAATAGCGGAAAGATTAAATGCGAGACGAAGAAAAGAAACACCAAGGGCTTAAATACAAGACTTGTCATCCAAACCCAACACCGCGTCTACTTCACAGTTTAGTGACCCACAATCCGACGCGCCAATACCCATAACAAGAACAATCACTTATGCCAAGCTTAATAAATGCACTTGAAGAAGAGACCCCTCAGGATATAATGGAAAACTTAAGTGACGAAAATTTGGAAATCAGGGAAATTGAGGAAATAATCGAAAAAATTCAGGTTTTTCACCAAGACGAACTAATGTTTCAATCAAACTCAGTATATCCCGAGCCAATGACGTGAATCAAAAATCTGTAACATTTCAACAAGATAAAGACTCTATTTTTTTTTGAGGAAGAAACTTTAAATTTAAATACAATAAAATAAAAATTTTAATCTACTTTTTGACGCTCCATACAAGACCAAGTAAACAATACAAATAAAAATAAAGAACAGTTATCAGATTCAAGAAATAACACTCACATTAATAAAGATTGCAACAAAGAAAAATTTTTTGAAGGATCAAATCAAAACTCATTATGGTGGGATAGTTACGATAAGAAAAATGAAATACTAAGTAACAGCATTCTTGTAGAAATGACATCTTCACCTACATCCCCTACCGAACGTCTTGACGGTAGTTACTTAAAATAATAACAAATAAATTCACTTTCATCGTCACCTTGAAATTCAATTTCTTCTATTATAGTAAATAATTGGATCGATGAAACAATGAACAAATTTATTGCAAACGGGGATGTGAGAGCAGAATCTCTAACTAAATTACATAGAAATAGTCCTACCAAAAAAAAATTACAAAATTCTAATGATGAACGATACAGAAGAAATTTATCACCTATAAGACAAAATAGTGATATGGAAAGAGACAAAACCCTTCTCAATCGGAAAACATAGAAAATAAAATTGATAAAGTCCCAATGAAAATTTCTCTAATATGCCTTATGAAACAAACAAATTAACAATTTTAAGGACTTGTGAAAGTATAACTTACACAAAAAATAACTACATTCATTTTATTTCTGAATCTGTAGATTTAAAATCAATAAACAATAAACTACTATTAAATATAGGAGCTATATGAAAAGAAGAATTATCAAATGTTTAACCAAAATTAGGAGACCTTATTACTACGAAAAACTAAAATCACTACACATTTTCACTAGTCATGAACAAAAACCTTACTAATGGAATAAAACCTAGCATTATACGAAGCTGCTTTTAAAATCTTGCAAATGCAATATCAGTAAAGAAGGTTACCACCACTCATATTTCTAGAAAAGGTGAACTCACCGATAATCGCCCTAGAGGAAAAATGCCATCTATCTGATATGAAAAGTAACTGTGCAGTTTTAAGTTCACTGAATACTAAAATGTATTTACTTTGAATGTTCTTAAAATATATGTATTCTGAACAAGTTGTATACTATAGCTTACGTATTAGTATGCATCCTTATGTATTTGACATTATATATTAGTAGTCGAATGCAGGAGAGAAAGAGATGGTATGTATGCTTGTACAGTTAGCTTTTTGTTTTATAGGAGTCGCTGGCGCGCGACTATAGATGCGTGTCTCGTGTGTAGTGAGCTGCTATAGCTAGTTCTTCTTCAACTCTCGCAAACGAGCTGGTCGTACTCTACTTACCAGTCTCGTTGCTTTCTTTTACTATTGAACTTTTCTTTTGTCGTAATATTACGAATTGTTAAACTTAAGTTCAATCCTTTTGTTCAGCTAATTAAACGATGTTTTAACCATTCACGATTAAGTCTCCGTAACGAGCGATTTATCGTCAATTAACTTAAGTATTTAAGACTATATCTAGATTTCTCGATTTTTCGATAGTATCAAGTGTATCGTTACAAAGAAAACAAATCTTTATATTTCGTTGATTAATAATTAAAAGTGATGTGTAAAATCGAGTCTTTTAATAAAGCCCGTATCATTTGCAAAGGGCTAAGTGATTCACCCTTTCCGGTTTCGTTTCTTCCTCAAGGTAAAGTGTCCCAAAAATAATTATCCCCAGATCTCTCGGGCTCATCTGCAGTCCTTTAATTAGAATTAATTCAGTAACGTCACCTTTTTCTTACAGTCAAAATTTGTTTCGGCGCATGTTCTTATCTAACCCTAAAAAATAAAAAGGAAAAATAAGTTGAATGTCATACTAGTTTATTTAAAAATCATATATGAGTAGTAAGAACTTATAGATGTATGAGAGAAAAATAATATAAGAAAGAAATGGGCAACAACATTGCTGATGACGTACACAAATGTAAAATTTGCCAGAAACAAAAAATAGTTCACACAAAAAGAGAGAAGTTACGGTAATAACAGACACACCATCAGAAGTATTTTACAAGGTCACAAAGAATACAATAGGCCCTTTTCCACAAAATACATCTAGAAATAAGCACATTTTAATAATGCAATGCTTACTTGCAAAATTTTTTATTGCAGTTTCTGTTTCTAATATAGAAGCGATAACTATTGCCCATGTGTTACGAAGATATTTCATTTTAACATTTGACACTCGTAGAATTATTCTCAGTGACAGATCCACAAGGTTAATTAATTAAGTATTGACTGAAGTAGCAAAAATTTATGGATTCCGGAATGAGCTCTCCCTAGTGTATATCTGCCACAACCAAATGGTTCATTAGAGAGGAGCCACGCTATTTTAAACAAGATCTTGAGAACTAACGCTAAAAACAAAAATGATTGGGATAAAATGGTTCCTTTTGCAATGCATGAGTAAAATAACTTAGTTAATTCAGCAACAGGCCTCACACCTTAAAACTTGTTTTTAGTAGACAGGCACGTTCCTCGAATCCACTTCCAGATGAATTTAAATTAGAAATATACAGCTCATATGCTAATGACCTTCCCCGCTGTTTACGTACAATACAAGAAATAGCTCGTGACAGACTTTAAATAGCAAAACAAAATACAAAAACACGTTATGACAATAAGTCAAAGCCACATAAATTGAAAGTTAGAATGACAGTCTATATACTTAAAGAACCCCGGAAAAAAAAAATTACATAGATTTTATAACAGAATTTTGAAAATTCAAGAAATACATAGTAATAATGACGTGATATTAAAATAAGTAAATGGCAAAATAATAAACAAACACATTGACAAAGTAAAACGTTGCTATCCATAAAACAAAAAAAAACAAAAAAAATTATTGCTGTTGCAGATTCATCCGATCAATATGTTGACTACAGACATTGCCTTTCTGCTTCTGCTAATAGCAAGGCCTGGCATGATAAAAAGTAAGAAAGAGATACCTACAAAATCTTACGACAACATGCTTTAAGTAAATAATCTAGGTATATATTATGAATACGCTAACGAAGACGGAATAATTTGTACCGAATGACACGTTACTATTACGTTAGATTTTCGTAGTATTAAAGACCAAACTAAACTGTACCATAAACAACAAGATACTGTATTTAAACAGTGTACTAAGGTCCTTAAAAACTAATAGTGCAAAAATTAATTCATAAAATACACGTTAAATAATATGATTCACTTAACAAAATCATCATACAAAGATCTATAACAATTTATTGCACCTAAAAATAACAATACATAGTAAAGAAATAAACTGTTACAATATAGTAAAAGTTATTCCTAGCAACATGATACTCAGACGAGCACCACTAGAATTCGTGGGGTGGATTTCAAAAAAAATTATTTGGATCCATGGATGCGGATGATCAGGATAAAATAAAAGTGCTCCAGATCAGCGTGGTGAAAGCAAGTGGCATTGTCGCTCCAGAGTTCAGAGGGTCGGCCGCGACGACTGGTGAACTGAGCGAGAGTGCCCAGGAAGGCGGCTGTGGAGAGATCACCGATGAACTCAAGGTGTAGGGCCTTTGTCGTCATGCACACAAAGACATCGTTGTAACCCTTCATAGTGCGTATGCCGCGTCCTTTTGACGCAAGTACTGAAAAAGGCCCGGCGTAGTCGACTCCCGTGCGGCCAAAAGCGCAGGAAGGTGTGACTCGTGAAGCTGGTAAGGGAGCCATCATGTGGGTCGCGGAGCGCGCCTGGAGTCGGGAGCATACGAAGCAACGCCGCAAATGAGCCTTCATTCTGCGTGGGCCACCGAGAATCCATGCACGCTTGGCCGCGGAGGCGCTAGTGACCCTGTATCCGCCGTGAAGAGCTCGAGTATGGGCCCAAGAAAGGACCAGCAAGGCGAGCGATGAGGCTCCACTAAGGATCGGTGGATGCCGCTCTTCGTAAGGTAGCGAGGAGAAACCCAGCCGCCCGCCGACGCGCAGAACACCGTTGGTGTCGAGGAAAGCCGCAAAAGAAGTCAAGGGGTTCCCTTTTGGCAATCGCTTGCAGTTCTGCAAACGCGCGCGCTCTTCACCAAACGTTTCCGATTGGCTCAAACGGATGCAGGCCAGGAAGGCATCTTGAAGCTCAGCGGGAGTCAGTGGTGAGAGCACTGTCAGGACAGGTGGGCGACGCAAATGGCGCTGGACCCACCGACAAGTGCGCACGAGAACGACGAGTAGAGTGTAAAGCTTGGAATATCGTTCAAGTATGCTAGGCTCAACCAGATGGGTGGCGTAGCAGGCCAACGGCAAGGGTGTCACCTCTTGAAGTGCTTCCTGGGGCCAGGCTCGGTCATTGTCGGCGAGCCATGGCGGACTGTTCCACCACAGGAGTTGTTGTTTGAGACTGGACATGTCCGCGCTTCGAGTGGCCACGTCGGCTGGATTGGACTGCGACGGCACGTACCGCCAGGAATTCGAGGGTAGCGTGTCCTGTATCTGGGCCATGTAGTTGTCGACGAGGGCGTTGTTGGTTGACTGATCGAAGCGAACCCAGTGCAGCACAATTTGCGAGTCGCACCAGACGTGACAGCACTTAATCGGAACTGCTAGTTCTTCAGCCGTCGAGCGCAGAAGCTTAGTAGCCAGCAGGGCAGCGCGGAGCTCCAAGCGAGAAATGGTCATCTGGGCCACGGGCTCGGCCATTGGATTAAAAGTGCGGATGGGCGCCAGCTTCGTGCGAGCGAGGAGTATGTGGCAGCGGACAGAACCGTCCACGGCCTGGAGTCTAGAGTACAGGACAGCAGCCATCACGTGGCGGCTTGCATCGGAAAATATGTGCAGGTGAATGTCCGCTGACGTGACTGTTCCAATCCAACGAGGCAGAGATAGACCGGAGATAGCTTGGAGCTCGGCGGCAAAGGCAGTCCACCTTTGAATCATGGACGACGGGGCAGACTCGTTCCAGTCCAGTTTGGCTCACCGTAAGTCTTGCAGCAGGAGTTTGGCGCTCAGCGTGATCGGCACAAGCCAACCGCATGGATCAAACAGGCCCGCGAGCGCTGCGAGCATGGTCCTCTTGGTGGTTTGGTGCTGGATGAGGGGAGGTGTTAGCAGGAAGCAATCTGACGGAGGGTCCCAGCTCACACCGAGCTCACTGACCAGACCTTCAGCGCCAAGCTGACACCAAGTGGGCCACAGGCGCACGTCGTCGGGGAGGTTGTCCAGCAGCTCGAGCACATTAGCTACCCACTTGCGCAGAGGGAACCCGCCGGCTTGCAGAAGTTCGATTAGCTGGTCACGAATGTGTCCGGCCGTGGCGGTGTCGTCGGCACCGGAGAGTATGTCGTCGACGTAGCGGTCGTTCATCACCATGGGAACTGCCTCCGGCCAACGGTGTCCTTCGTCCTTGCACAGCTGCGGCACCGTGCGCAAGGAGAGGTACGGTGAGCACGAAGCGCCGTAGGTGACTGTTAACAGCTGGTAGTGCGTGGGCGGTTGATTTGGATCAGGGTTCCACAAGATACGCTGTAGGTCGACGTCACGCTTGTCAATCCAGATCTGACGAAACATCATGCGGACGTCGCTGAAGAAGGCGATTCAATGTCATGACATAGTCAGGCTTGGTAGACTAGGTCTCGCTGAGCATGCACGTCGAAGCCTTGGAATCGAGCGCAGTGCCCCAGGTAATGGGTTTCGCTGCAGGAAGAACACAGAGGCAAAGTTCCGCCAGTTGCGAGGGAGCGATAGTGCTGCCCAGAAGATGATAAAGCTGATGAACAGATGCTGGGCGTGCTCGCTGGCCGCGCTAGGCGAGATGCCTCAATGGAGCTGAGAGCGCGGCACTGTCGGTAAAGAAAGTTCGTCATGGCGGCGAAAGTCGCAGTCTCAATTCCAACCCTTGTGTCGGCGCCCTCGAGCCGCTCGAGCTTGTCCGCCCAGGCACGCCCGGTAGTCGGGTCCATGCTGGTCATTGCACAAGAGATCAACCAGTCATTCCACTAAAAGACAGGACGGCCCAAATGCACTAGCGCTCGAAAGAGGTCCTAGCAGCTCTTCCAGTCTTCTCTTTTCCCGGAGAAGGCGGGAATACTAATTCAGGGCATGTGGAGTTCACAATTAGATGTAGCGCGCCCGGGGCCCGCGCCACTGTTGCCAGGGGGTGGTGCGAGGGTGCTCCTCGCGTTGGACAGGTGTGCACGTGATTCTAAGTACTCAGCCTCCAATGTCGAGTACATTTGAGTTAGTGACTCCTGCTTCTCGGGAGGAGGCGTCTCGATAAGCTTCAGATGATTGACCTAAAAGTCGCTCCAGTAGCCATCCAGCAACTCAAGCCTCACTTTGACGAGGCCGGTGGTCCAGGCCGAGGGCTCAGTTTGCGTAACGGCCAGCGCAAAACGAGCGATGACGTCTGCCAGAGTGCGTTGGGCGCTAAATAGGTTAGCCCAGCCTTTGTTCGACCTGAAAGAGCAATCATGAGCTTGACGGTTGCACGAAGCTGCTATTGCCGTCGGGCTGAGCCTGGCTTTGTCCTCAATTCCACAAACTAACACGTATGTGTGCGGTTATACGACAGGAAGAAGAAGAGAGAGCGAGAAAGAGAGACACTCACACCTTATGTACACACACACACACGCACATACGCACCAACACGTCCATGCGGGCACGTAGACGCTTGCGTGCATCACGCATTGAGAAAGATAGGTTAAATGCTAACCTTGACAAACCGCCCGTATTGCGTTTGCTCTCGTCATGACAAGGTATAGGTACACCCGTACGGAAGGCAATGTGGCCACCGCTCCTGACGAAATAACCACTACCAGGGACATGGCTTCATGTCTGCCATGGCCGTATGTATGAAAAGCGCTGGACCACGGGCTATGCGGTGGCCGTGGCAGCCTTGTATTCAACTTGTGACGTAGATGCTCGTGAGGCACGCGTTAATGGTGGCACGACCTCGTCGTGGCCATGATCAGGAAACGCAAGCCGGACCACTGGCATAATGGCGGCCACGATGGCTTAATACAACCAACACTTTGACATCAGTAATAGTATACTCAATTACTGTCCCAAAAAGTCAATTACACTTGTCAGAAAATGCGATTGGTACTGTTGTATTGTAATATCCTAATACGTAACATCATAACATGTACTATTATCATGCAACTGTTAACGCAGTCTGCAAGAACATCGCTCATTGGTTGACCTAATTCAACCAAAGGCCTCTTTTTCTTGCTCTGATGCTGTAAAAACGCACCATAAAGATGAAAAAGTGTTCTTTTTACGTCTGTCACCTGTCTTCTAAGGTTTAAGTCAAACTCTTGATTCTCGTGACTTGTGAGTACCTTATACACGTTAGTCATGACGTGCTTGCTGAGGCAACTCAAGTGTGTATTGAGAACATTAAAAGTATTGGACTATGCTAAGAAGCAAGGTACAGCACAGAAGGCATGCCGAAAGTGACTACGGCGATAACAGAGAAAGCAGAAATCGCCACATCTTACTGGCCATGAACTTGGTCATGTCAGTTAAGGAAACACTGACGCTTACAGCACGTGGCATTAGGAAACTCTGAAGTAGTACTAGTCGTTCATGAGTTGTTTTATCAGTACACTAATACGTCACTAATGTTCGTACCATATTTCTTATAATTTTTTTGTTCATAAACATTAGATGTTTATATAGCTCAACTTATAAAAGAATCATTATCATTCTTACTAATTTTTTAATACATATCATTTGTTTTTTATGTCTGAGGGGTTCTAAAAGTTTTAACTTTGTCTTTTTTATATCCAATAGCAATGAAAGAAATGTTTTAATAGTTAAACGGATATTATTTTTTAAATAAAAAGTATTAAACAAAGTTCAAAGATTAAAAAATTCAAAGGTTTCTTGGACAATAGTAATTTTGCTTCTGTTTCTTACTACTGGGAATATTCGATAAAAGTCTCCATCTAAGACTATTATTTTATTTCTAAAATTTTATTATTACTAAATGGATGTCTTAATACCCTATCTAAAAATTTAAACGTTTTTTTTTGTGTCACAGAAGCTTCATCCCAAATGATTACTTCTACATCACGTGATTTTTGTTTATTTGACTCAAACTGCAAAAAAGCACATTTTATAGTACTCAAGTCTAAAGAAACTCTCAAAGTTCTGTAAATGGTCATCCCCCTTAGAAGCAAAGTAGAAGAAATACCTGTCTAAGACATTGTAATAATTTTCATTTCAATTGGAATATAATAATTATTAAAAGTTTTGTTTAGAAAAGTTTTTCTAAATCTACCAGGACCATCAATGCAAAAAAAAATTTTTTTTAATTTTATTATTACTTGAAAAATTGTATGTTGATCATGATTAACTAGTTAAAACATGTTATGAAATTTATATTTACAAATTTTTTTTTTATGTTGTCAGTATCAGTATTTTATTTTATTGCTTCTATTTGTTCTGGTAAACTGAAATTCTTACAAGGCTTATTTAGAGAATTAAATATTATGTATTAATGTAAAAGAGCTTTTTTTTATCATCTTTATAATTTTTAAAAAAAATTTCTTATATTTGTTCCAAACAATATTGCCGAAAAAATTTATCAACATAACAAAACATACGAAAAATTTCGTAGTTGAAAAAGAAGCATGATAATACATGATTTTTTTAAAATTACATAGATTTTAAAATTGTGTTCAACTGATCCTATAGAAATAGCTGATTTTTGTAAGTACTGTAAGTAATCTTACTAACTGTTCTTAAATCTATGAAAGAAGTTGCTCCTGCTATTTTATTCATTATGATTTTTAAATATAGCCTTTCCTGATCTTTTAAAAAAACTACATTCAATTTGCAGACTGTAATATTCTCTTTAACACGTTTCCGTTTATTCCACTGTTTTGTTTTATTGTTAAATGTATAACATTTAGAAATGTTTACGTATCTTATTGATTGTGTACTTTTATTAATTTTATTCAGTTCAAACCATGCTTTTATAGGGGTGTTCTTATTGTTTATTGATTCCTCAATTTCACCTTCGTCGAAAACTATGTTTTGTTCATATTCAACGTGAACAGGTAAATAAGATACTGAATGACTCCTCTCACAAAGAGGAAAGTATTAGAGTCTTAATGCGGCCTCTATCAGGCATAGAGACCGACCATAAATGAATTAAGATCTTCGTCGTTTATCTCGTCATAATTCTTTTAACTTTCGTTTCGATTTCCTTTTTTAATTCTACAAAAAGCTCTATTGCTTCTTTCATAAATGTAGTCAAAAATATATTCAATGGTTTGTATAGATTAACAACATTGAACATTTACAGGACAATTATATTTCATCAATCAGTATTTGTTGTGTTATCGTTTATTTAATAACTATAATTTATATTATGCCTTCGGTTTTTAAACTCTTGCCAACGAAAGAATAACCATTCTAATGACTTCAGCTTTTCCTTCGAAGTGCCATCAAAATCTAAATGTATCATTTTTTACCTCCAAAACTAGTACTTATCCAGGAAGAAGGGTATATTCGGAATCTTTAATCGTGATCTTTCGCTTTTGCTCTAAATTACATTTATAGAACCTTGGCATGCACAATATTTTTTACTACCTCAAAAAAAAATGACGGAAAAAAATTGTTCCATAACTTTATTTGATCATTATTACTATCGTACAAGATGGTTTTCATAAAGCTAAACTTGCTGCAGCTTATCGCAATTTATCTCTTACTTCTCGGGGTCCTAAAAGTATTCAAAAATTTTCCTTAACAACACACAAAAATCCTAACAACTGTACCACGATTCTCCTATCAGTCACCCGTAAGTCCATTTAAAAGTTATTAAGTCCACAAAAATTTTATAAAAATCTTTTTCATTATTGGAAGCTTTATTGTGCGAGAATACTTACTTTTCTCCCTTATAATTTGATAGAGGACTAAAGTATGTTCTATGCAATCCTTTGGTCATAAGAAATCAGTGTAGCATCTTTTTTTAGGTTTATTGACTTCAATAAAAACATGCAAGACATTAGAATAAAATGAAATATTATGTATTAGCCGTGAGCTTAAGAACTTTACTTTGTGTAATTTTAGTAAATAAGAAGTATAGTTTTAATAAAAGAATCAATAATATACACAAAGAGAAAAAAAGAAGCTGTCTGAAAGTCAAATAAAACTTTTTTTTTTGTTGCTAACTGTACCTTGCTACTTATTTGTACGAGATGTGTAAAAAATAAGAAAAAACGATCGACAAGTGTCCTTTATAAGACAATTTACATCTACCTTCTATCCAACAATTGTCCTTGGAAAAAATAATTCTTCCAACACAAATTGAACACTAGCTGCAACTTTGCTTATAAGTCCTCCTCAACCATTTATACTAAAAACTGATTTTGCAGCAATTTTGAGATTTAAAAAAAGAGTTAGAACGATCCTTCCGCACCTTGTATCCAATGTTTATGTCAATTATGATACTCGAGTAAGATTATAAAAAAGGCATTTATAAACAATATTATTGTTGCATGTCTAATGTGGAGCTGTTATCAATAACCTCTTTATTGAATTCATGAATTTCTGTATTC